GCCCTGCCTTTTTCTATTTATCCTCTCTCCTCATCCCCTTCCCATGCCAGGGTCCTGCTCTGCCAGCACAGCCCAGACCAGGAAGGAACCAGTGCAGGACTGGGAGCTGCCAGTGCATGTGTACCCCTGTCCTGGCCCAGCATCACAGCCCGGGACCCCTCCCCACCTTTTAGCAGGTCGTAGGCCCTGTGGATGTCGAACTTGCGGGCACGGATGAAGCGGAGGAAGAAGGAGTCGTCCTGCCCCTGCACCTTCTCGGCCACCGCCTTGCACACCTCCTCGCCGCCCGCCCGCTCCTGCACCAGCTCGCGCAACGCCTTCACTGCCACCTCCCTCTGCTCCTCTGTCTCGTTCAGCTCATCCTTCGCCTGGGGGGGAACAGGGACGGGGCCCAGCTCAGCAATGCCCCCCGTGCACCCCAAAACACCCCGGGGGTCACTTAGGCACCCAAAAGCTGGAGGGATGCAGTAATGCTCCTTGCAGCATCCCAGCACAGGGAGGGCAGAGTCAACGAGGTCCCCCGCAGTGAGACCCTTCGGTGTAAGCACATCCCATCCCAAAAGGCAAGAGCCCCTTGAGGGTCTCCTGTGGCCCCCAAGGAGTGGGTGCCCCAGGCTGTGCCTGCCCCCCGCTCCTCGCGCCCGCCCTCACCTTCTGCAGGGTGTGCGGGGGAATCTTCTCACACCTCCCGAAGACGGGGCCGTGGTCCTTGGTGGTGAGGCGCTCCAGCTTGGTGCGCAGGGCCTGCTCCTCCTCCGAGACGATGCGGAAGGTGCCCGTCTGGGGACGAGGAGAGGATGTGGGGTCTCCCCAGCCAGCTCCCCAACTCCCTGCCCCACCGTGGGTCTCCTGGGATGGGGGACTATGGGGAAGGGTAGAGCCTCCATGCCTGCACCCAAGGGGATGCAATGGGATGGGAACGGGCTGCGTGCCACCCGGGCTCCCCGCCATGGGCTGCAGGGAGGGGATACTCAGAGCTCGGGGGACGGGGCGATGCAGGGGCAGTACTCACAACCGCAGACATGTCGTCCTCTGTCCTCTGTCAGCCACAGGACACTGGGAGAGGGGAGGAGGAATCAGCAGCAGTGGGGATCCTGACAGCCTCTGCAGCCCCGCTGTGCCCCATCCCCTGCCCCTCTTGCTCAGGTGGGGACACCCCATCCATCCTCAGCTCCATCACATACTGCCTGCATCTCTGCCTGCCTGCCTGCCAGAGGCTGGGCAGCTTTGAGAAACACCAGGGATGTTTGCACAAGCAGCTTAAAAATGTGGGTATTGATCATCTGACACCTTCATTCTTTTTTTCTGGCTCTGCCTTTCCACTGGAGGTTGGGGACCCCCAACCCCATGAGCTCACCCAGTGCCATTTCATCTCAGACCATCCTCATACGGGCAGAGGCGAGTGCCCAGCTTTGGCCAGGTGGGCAGCCAGCTCATGCTTTTACTGCTTTTTATTTCTACTGCCCCATTCTCCCCAAGGTGTTTCCCAAACGCTTGAGCCCCTGCTGCTCCAGCCCAGAGCCCATCGCCAGCTGCAAGGTTGGACCATGAGCCTTTCAGCACCTTTCTGACGCCATCTGGGTAAAACACCTTGTTCCCATGCATGAGGAGGAGGAAACCTGCCTTCATCCTCCCTCCAGCGCCTGACCCTGACCCTGCCGGGCTGTAGCATCGGCTCCGAGCCCAGGCTGTGCGAGGGATGCTTGGCTCCAGTTCATCCACTTCCCAGGGGCATCCTCTTCCCCTCCAGCTCCCAGCGAAGGGACAGGCATCCCCTTTTTCCAGGCACTAAAAGCAATCCCAGCCTTGGAGGTGCCAGGTTATGGGGTTACAGTCTCCAGTGCGAAATTATTTTGGGTAGAAAAAGTCCCAGGTACTCACCAGGGAAAGGAAAAGCTGAACCGTCCGCAGAGGGTCAGTGCACAGGGCAGAGACAGAAGCACGGATGGCGAGGCTGGAGTGGAGCAGGAAGAAAGCCGGGTGAAAGCTTTGTAGAGTCACCGGGTTGGGATTAGACCGTCACAAGGCATCAACTCACTGCAGCTTTGTAATTAAATCAGCACAACCCAGGCAAGAAACCCCATTAAAACATTACAGAAAGGCAGCTGAGGAGAGGGAAGGAGGGAGCCAGGGCTCCGCTGGTCGGCTGGAGCGTGCGTGGAGGGGCGGGCTGGGATGCCGGACCCGATTAATGAAGTATAAAAGCTTCTCGTTGTGTAACTCACTCATTAGCGCAGGGCAGGGGCAGAGGAGGCGATGGGCAGCCTGCCACCCCAGCCCAATCCCCCGGGGCGAGCAGGCCAAGTCTCTTACCCAGCTTCTGCCCCGAAAAGCCTGGCAAGGTCCCGCTGTGAATTTGGCCGTGTGGGCAGGGTCTGGGTGTGGGGACGGGTCCACGGCAGAGGATGCTCCCAGAGCTGGTCCCTCCTGGGGCTCTCCAACTCCTCCCCAACAAGGCCACCCAAACAAGCATCCATACGGGACCACTTTCAGCTTTTAAAATAAAAAAATATGGGCAGATATTTTTTTTTACAATGTTCCCAAGCGATGGTTGCCTGCTTGGAGCTTTGGGAACTGGAACCCAGTCCATCCCCGAGGTGATGCTGCAGACCCGTGAGTGAAGGGAGCCCCGGGATGCAGCAGGGACCATGCTGATCCCACGCGTGGGTGCAGCGGGATGGCAAAATGAGTTATTTTGGGACATCCCAGCATGCTGAAGCCACATGGGGCCGGGGAGCCCTTGCAGCCTTAACTCTTTTTGGGCCCAGGGTTGCGTGAGCTGGGTGAGGAGGCGGTGAGGATGGGGCTGTGCACGGCTCTTTCCCCAAGCCCAGGAGAGGAGTTCAGCGGGGCTTTTAGCACAATGGGGATTTGGGGGAGGTGGCGGGGCCGGGCTGAACACCAGAGCAGGACTGAAGGGGCTTACACAAGGCATGTTTTGTAATTCCACTGGGATTTACGGATTTGGTTTCCACGGGCCTGCCCTGCAAACAGAGCTGAGACCCCGCTGCGAGGGAGGGAGGAGGAGGAAGGCACGAGACTCCAGATGAAGGGCAGGAGGGAGCGGGGAGGAAAAATCTGGACCTGTGCCAAGGCCCTGAGTGATGCTGCTGTGGCCAGGGTAACCACACGCTGCTCTCCACTGGAGACCTCCCGACCTCCCCATCCCCTTCCCACGCCAGCCCTGCCGCAAGGCTCAGCTCCCTCGTGGAGCTTGCTGGATGTTTGTCCGCAGCCCAGCGAGCAAGATGGTGTGTGACGGGGGATATCGTCAGCCTGGGGGCTCCCAAACAGACCCAACAGCCCTGCACAGGGGTGGCAGAGGGGACCTGCGCACCCCTGGCCACCTGGGCATGCTGGCCATCACGCTCATTGCAGACGAAATAGTTTTGCAGACTGATGTGCAAGCCCTGGCATAACCGAGCGGGTGCTTTGCCCAGGGAAAAGGGGTCTTTGGAAGGGGTGGCAGCCCGAAGAGGGACTCATCCCAAGGAGGACCCACCCCAAGGTGTTGAGCCTGGATCCCTTTGGGGATCTCTCGGCCAGGTCCAGTTATCCCCCTCCCCATGGCCCCTGACCCCAGGCGAACCCGCTCCCCCTCGCTCGGCAGCATCAGCTCCCGCTCCCCGTGAGCACGGGACTTTCGAAAGCTCCCACGATGTGCTGGCACCGGATCCTCTGGCTAAATCCCGCTGCTTAACGGCGGGCTAAACCTCCTCGTGCGCCAAGGCCGCCCCTCGTGCCCCCCGGAGTTAAGGGGTTTATTCGAAGGGATTCGTGCTCCACGTGGGGGGCACTCGCAGGAGCCGGGTGCCGCTGCTGCGGGGTGGCCCTGAACGGGCACTTTGTGCCGACAACCCCAGTCCCCCCTGGCTGCCTGCACCCCACGTGCCTGCACCCCACGCCATACTACACCCCACGTGCCTGCACCCAACGTTACCCTGCACCCTATGCTGCCGCGCACTGCATACTGCCCTGCACCCACACCACTCCGCACCCCACGCTGCTGGCACCCCACGCTGCCCGCACCCTGCGGGACTCGAACCCAGGTCCTCCCGGGCGGCCGGGGGCGGGAGTGGCCGGGGGCGGGGGAGGGAAGGGAGGGCTCGGGGGCGGGGGCCGGTGCCTGGGGGG